AAGATTTAGTTAGGATAGTTACATGCTTTATTTAGTGGTGGCCACAGCCATTAGTTAGCTCCCAGCTTCAGCTTCAGCCCCCAGATTCAGCACGCAGCCAGTTCCATTTTAGTCCCTCCCTCTGCCCATTTTTTTAGGCCCCTTTTATAATGCAGGCCAAACAAAGAAGGCACAATGCCAACAGGTTACATAAAATGTGTGTGTGTGGGGGGGTTGCATGTTCACAAGTTAGTGTTTATGATCTTGACTATGTGCTGAATCACAGTGTTTCTGGACTAACCATAACATAGACAGTTCTCAGCCCTGGCTACACCCTAAAAACATAACCTAGCCTGCTGGAAGTCTCACTGAGGAAGCCTAACTACAGCTATTTTGGGCCTGCCCCAACAGTAACTTTAAATTTTTAGGGTAAGTATCAAAGAATGGTATATCTGGGTCATATGGTGATTCTATTCCTAGTCTTTTGAGGAACCTCCATTCTGATTTTCATACTGGTGATACTCATTTATAATCCCCTCAACAGTATAAAAGTGTATCCTCACTACTTTGTATTCAGTGCCCAACACATAGGATATAACGTTCATGCAATGACATCTATTCAATTAATTCATGATTTCCTGATTCTAAGCTAACTGAAAAACTGAATACCTCACTCAAGGCTGAAACTTTGCCTCTCTTCTTGCTCCTAGCCCTGCCAACAAACCATGGAGACTCCCTAGTGTTTCCTAAAGAGTCCTCAGTCCTAGATATTTGTGTATTGAATTGGAGAAAACAAAAAGCATTTAACAATCAAATTTGACATTTAGTACGAGCCTAATAAATCCTAGCCTGCATGATATATATATATATATATATATATATTTTTTTTTTTTTTACAAAATACTGACCAGTAAAAATAAAACAAACGATTTCATAGGGCTGTTTTCTTAGCACATGAAAGTTTGTTTTGATTGCATTCAATTAGGCAAATACTTTTGCTTTCTCTAAATCTGTTCCTTGCAAAGGAAACAGGTAGTAAATATGTTGAAACTAGGGGCAAGCCAAGTTGCAAGTATTATCGTGTTAGAGAATTACAGAAACCAAATCATGAGTTATTTCCCTCAGGCTGGATTCTTCCTTGGTCAAGCGCTGTTGGATCATTTTCTCAACATTACTGGTGAACTTCTAAGTGTGAGCAGGTCTTTGAGTATAGATACCTGAATAAAAGGAACTGTGAGCCACATATCCAAATTCTATTTGACCCAACTGATTTCTGTCTCATTCTTCCAGGATTGTCTCTCTTTTTAATTTTTATTTTATAGTCATTATTTGAGTACCTGTTTTAATGAAGCACTAGTACTTGCACTAGTGAAAGTACTTATAAAGTGCTTATATAAATTATTTCTCACCAAATAACTGTAATAATGCCTTAGTACAACCAAACTTTTCTTGCCATTTTCTTGCCAATCAGTACAGTCAACAATACAATACTAACGTGAAATGGGAATTTGTTACAGGATTTTATGAAGTCAATGAAAGAGATGTTTGAGAACTGCTCAATTCACAATGTTAGTATCAATTGAGGATTTAAAAGTTCAAAAAATTAAGTGGATTCCATAACATGATACTCCAAGACAAAATTTCCTGAATAATAATATGAAGAAGGACCATTAGAAAAAAAAATTAAAGCCCTGGAATATTTTTGCAAAAGAGACCAACTCTGTGACCACGGTGCACAAGTCTAAAGTGAAAGAGACATTCTTTTTTTTAATCAACAATTTTGTTGGAAACTAAAATCAACACTTGATCCATTAAATTGAAATGAAATGCTTTTCTATTAATGTAGATGCTTCCATTACATTGTTACTTTCAAAAAAGGTGTACAGGTTGTTGCTCTTCAACGCAGCGGTGTCTGTAGCTAGTGGAGCTCCAGCCTAAGGTGGCGGGTAAGTATGGTCTTCTACCACCACTTCACAGAGGCGACATTCCTCAAGTCGACCTGCAGTAACGCGTCTGGAAGCAACCAGCTAAAGAGCCGCTCGAGAGTGCGCCCTCTACTGGAGTGGTGAAGAGACCTCCACTGGACTTTTGATTGGCAAACTCAACTTCCAGCGTCTGGTGCGAGAAATTACTCAGGACTTCAAAACAGATTTGCTCTTCTGCAGCGCAGCTATTGGTGCGCTGCAGAAGATTGAACGTGTGCTCTCCATGCCAAACGTGTAACAATTATGACAAGACATCCAACTATCATGCCGCGTATGTGGAGAACATGCTTAAGAATTCAATATGATGGTAAACATTTCGTTCTCATTTTTTTCCCTCTTCTGTTAGTTCTGAATGTCTGAATGTTAGATATTCCCCACCTCCCTTGAGGCTACGTAAATATATTATTGCAAGTGGAAGAAAAGGAAACAGAAATCATTTTTTTTCATTTTCAACTGTGAATTTATACTGATTCACTAATGCAAGTCAGAATGTTTCAATGAACAAATTTCAGCAGTTCAACTTATATTTGTAAATAAATCTGTTAAATTTTTCTAGACAATGCTAACACTTGAACCTTTTTTTCCCTTTTACTCCATTGACATTTATTTTTTCATTCTGTTATATATGACAGCAGAATGCATTACCATTCATATTACACATATAGAGCACAATTTTTCATATCTCTGGTTGTATACTAAGTATATTCACACCATCTGTGTTTTCATTCGTGTGCTTAGGGTAATGATGTCCATCTCATTCCACCATCTTTTCTAGCCCCATGGACTTTTTTTTTTAAAAAAAAAAACAAAAAACAAGGAAATGTCTTAAATAGTAGCATTTTTATTACATTTTTTTGTAGCATTTTTATTACAGAATACATTCATTCACTATACTTTTCTGAGTTGTCCTGTGTACAAGTACATATTTTTAATATTCTATATTCTGCCCTGGTCCTTAGGCTTGCTATTTTAATGCCTTAAACTATATTTAAAAAGTGTGCAGATGTGTCAGTTTGGATATACTTAAATTTTTTTTAGTTGTAAATGGACACACTTTTTATGTGATGCTGAGGACTGTACCCACTGTCTCACATGTGTGAGGCAAGTGCTTTACCACTGAGCTACAGCCCTAGCCCAGTTTGAATATCTTAATGTCAACGTTTCCCAGGGCATTCTGCAGAACATTAGTCCTTCCTTAATCATCTGTGAGGAAGATCTGAATCTTCATTGGTACATGATTATTTTGTTTCCCACTTGAGTATTTTCTGCTCTGCATCCAAAAGGCTATCTGTATACACTGCTGGCTCCTTTGCCTTCTTCCTATTAGATTTAGCTAAAGGGGCAGATGCAGAAGAGAAGGGAGACCAACAAGACATCAAAGTGGACAGTGAAATGAGGATAGGTTTATTTCTTAGTACTGGATTGCTAATAGTTGGTTTATCTTCTAAGTTCATAGCATCTTCTAGGCCATCCTCTCACTTAACACTTCTCTGCAGTTCTGGTCAGTTTCCCCTCTACCCCCTTTTAAGCTGGGAGTTGATAAGGGTAACTTCCCTTGTTATCTGCTCAACTACTCACTGAGTGCGCATCATTTCTTTTGGGGGGGATGTTGGTTTACACAATGGTTAAATACCATATTGTTCTCTTGAATTTTAAATTCTCATTAGAATGTTAAGGACTCTACAGGGGAAAAAAATTGGCACTTAAGAATATTCCTTGAAAATACTGGATTATAAAATTCCTTACTGTAAAAACAATAATTAATGTTCTTGATGACTATGGGTAATTGTTATAATTGTTTTATTGTATATAAGCCTAAGGATTTAGTCATAGAATCGACTTGTTCCAAATGGATGTGATTTTTTAATTTTCATAATTTAGTCCTCAGAATCAGGCTGTTAAGTGTCTTACTGCTTGCTACCCATATGCTTTTCCCCCGTGCCCTGCATTTTTTTTACCACCTCTGTTCTGGAAGGTAATCAAAATTACCCAAGTTGGCTAAAATAATATCTAAAGTAAGATTAAATAAGTTCTTATGATAAAAAATTATATATTATGTATAAAATTACATATATAATTATAGTATAAAATTATGTATAGTTTTAGTGCCTGAATTTCATATCTATTTGGTGCTTGGAAATTTCATCCCTTTGTACTTGATATTTCATTTGTTATGAAGTGTTGCTGTGGATGTACTCTTACAAATGCTGATGTAGTAGCAATTAATGCTATGTACTTCTTTCTCCTTAGTAAAGTTTCCTTTGGTGGGTGGCTGTGTGACCAGTTCTGTTCAGTCACCATGAGACATCCCAAAACCCTTTTTGCCTTCCATCTTAACCAGCACTGTTTAGATGTCCCATCAGTTTGGGCTCCTATGACAGATATGAAATTTAAAAGGGAGATAAATATTTCACAAGTCAAAAATATTGTTACTGACACTGCAGAGTTGTTACAATTTATTCTTACTTAAATTTCAAGTTTCTCTGCAAAAAAAAAAAGGGGGGGGTTGGGTGGAAAATTACAAGAAGGTTTATATAGTCTTTAGGAAGAAATTTTTTCTTTAATGAAAATGAGCGATTTTAATAGTTGAGTTCAAGAACTCATAAAAGCTTTTAACAATTGCTTACACAAGATAGGCACATATTCATATTAGATTGTGTGGTTCAGTGGACCGATTTGAACACAGGATTGAATTCCTGAGTTCTATATCTTATTAGCTAGTCACCTAACTGGAGAGTCATCCTTTGTCTATAAAACTGGTACAACTATTATAGAACATGTTATTGGAAGGATCTCAGATTACAAAAATTATCCAACAGTAAGGTTCTTAATAAATGGTAGTTATAACTATACCAATTAACTGGTATTATTTATCAAATTACAGAATTACGGTCAGTTTTTTCCTTTCTCTCCAAATGCATGTTATGTTAACTGGCTTAGTTCATTGAAGGTTAATATAATTTTCTATCCTTTTTCTTTTAAGATTCTACTTAAGGCTGGTTATCCCAAAAGGTAATGCGGAAACATTGTGTCAGACACTTTTAAACCAGTCTTTAATTTCAATTCAGGTTTAAGAAAGCACATAAATACAAACATTAATTCAAGGAATCAAGAATGTGGGGTATAAACATGTATGGCAAATACTATTCTTCATGTACTTTTTAAAACTTCTAAGAATTTGATTACATGTAAAAAAAGAAATCATTGCCCCGTATATTGCTATTTCCATTTTAAGTATTCTCACCAAATTACATTTCCTGAAACTCAACAGAAAGCATTCTCTAATTTCGATCAGAATTTGGTGATCAGAATTGGCTGACACCATCTTTTATGTTGTCTGCAAAACTCTTAAATACCTGGCAAACAGTAGCTTTTTGTCAAATGAATGACACTGAAAAACAGATCCCAAGAGATTGAGATTTTGGGAACCACAGCATCATTTTGAAGGGGAATGTGATCAGCTGTGATCACATACCAGGATGGGCTGTTAAGGTGTAGGTATAGGAGAGCATTGCCTAAGTGGGCACTGAGAAAACAAATGAAGGTTGCAGAACACTGCAAAATGAACAGTGGCACCCAATTTCTAGGTTTTCCTCCCACTAAAAGGAGATTGCAGTTTCTCATTATCATTTAGCAATCACATTTACTATAATCAACATGGTTCCAATAGACAAGCCTAGGCAACTAGTCACTATATATCATCCCACTAAAGATATCCAAACCCAAGTAACCAAATTTTAGAATACCATCTGGTAAACTTCCTGCATTCAAGACCAACTCACAATTCCTTAAAATCTCATTAGACATAAGGGATTGGTTAGGATATATTACAGGTATTCCTATAACTAGCCATATTTACAAGATACAAAATATTTGATACTGTACAGATGTTTATAAAGTGATTTTTAGCACCAAATATATACAATCAACACTGCAAATTAATTCAACTTTTCAAATTTAACAGGTTTTTTCATTAATCATGATGGTACTTCTTTTCTCCCAACAAAAATGAAGTTTTATGGGGCTATGTGGTGATAACATATTATTCAGTAATAGACTACACAAAAATTATCTTTTCATCTAGAATATGCTGTATTTTTTTTTTAAACAGTATACAAAATAACTCAGGTAAAATAACTTGCCCCACTCATAGATGATGTAAGATTTGAAGAACCAGAGCCTAGAGAAGTCTGTTATTCCTTGGCCCTTGCTAATTTAAAAAATGGATATATCCATATTAAGTTTTAGACTGGCATGAAGACAAACAATTCTTGAAAACACAAAGTGTAATATCACCTTTTTACTCAAATGGAGTTGTTTGCATTTATAAAGACAAGGACATCTGTCCCTTTAAATGTGTGAAGTATTTCAGATTATTGGAAAAAAAATTTAACATTTATTAAGCGCTCATGTGCCAAATACTTGGGTTCAAGTTAATTTCCAAAATCTTTATAAAGGTATGAATTTGCAAAAAAGAAAAACTGAATCTTGGAAGGTAAGCTGCACAAAACCACTAATAATTAGAAGTGAACTTTAAATCAAGGCCTTTCTCTACTATACATAGTTTCTTCTCAGTACACAATACATAAACTGGTTCAAAATTATCTGCCCCTTAAAAAGTTTGTAATGAAAAGTGTTTAGTATTAAACAGTGTTCAGGATCCTAAAAACAATTCTCTGAGATTACTAAAATACTGATTTCATTTACTCCTTCATTTGTCAAAAAAAAAAATGTGGACACATGTTACAAATGGTATTAAGTGAAGTGCAATTCATTGTTTACTACAAATTTTTAACTTTAAGCAAAACAATCTCAGTGATGATAAATGCATTTCATTATTTATTTAGATGTTTAAGCTCTCGCACTAAGTTTTTACAAGCTGGTGAACACTGACAAATTATTTCTCCCACAGAACTATAACCACACATTCCCAGACAGTATAAATATATGGTTGAACTAACATTAATACACATCACCATTTTATCAATTACATAATAAAACAAAATTATCAAGTATCCAAATATTAAGTTACACAGCTCAAAAGGCATATAAAATATTAGATGTCTGCTCAATTCATAGCAGAAACCCACTTTTTTCTTTTTTGCAAGAGGTTGGGAATAAAAGAAAAAAAATCACACTTCAAACAAAAAGTTGGTAAACAACTTCTGATAATTATGAAAAAAAATTACAAGAATTTCAGAAACTTTATGATTAAGATTGTTTTACCTACAATAACAGAGCATCTCTACCTTTTAAAAAAATATTTACTAAATTAAAGAGCATATATTCTACAGGTTCTGCACGAGACAAAGGCAACATTTTACTAAAAATATTTAATAGCCCCCTCCCATTATTTTTGTCAGGCCCTCCCTGTTAAGTTGCACCTCAGAGTGCAAACATTAAATTAACTGTAAGGCTTTTTTTTTGTCTGGAGACTTAAAGACATGTGCTTCTGTAAAAACTTAGGTTTTCAAAATGGAGGTTTCCCATAACAGCAAAAAAATAAGACTTATAGAAAGATATTAAATAAAAATAGCTGTAAGACTTGGTAAAAGGAAAAAAAAAAACAAAACAAACAAACAAAAACAAAAAACCCCAATAGGTAAAAGCAAACCTGATGTATACTGGTATGAATGTGGGAGATGTAAACATAAAAAGAGCAGGCAAATAATCTTATAGGGCCTACAATGTTTGAAATGACTGAAGGAATAAATCACATAAGGTCTAGAGTGTTCTTAGTTCCTGGAATTTTGGTTTTGTATGATACTAAAAATATACAAGTATTGTGCTGGGTATTTTGGCACCTAATCTTTCTAAATTTCTCATGTAAGATTCTGGCATGGAAATATTAAAGACATTAACTCAATACCGCATGATTTCAGGAAAGGTCAACTGGTACAAATGATAAGCACATTTTAAATTGTGAACAGCAAGAATCTTTTGCTAAGTGTCCAAACAGGTTGATCATAACCCAAACATAGAGGTTGAAATTCTGTCAAGCTTGTGGCCTGGTAAAACTGCTTTCCAATACTCCTATGGAAGCTTCATCAGACTTATTCACCACGCCAACATGTTGGCTAATATGTACGACAAATTAGGTCCCGTCTTAAGTTCCACTTCCAAGGCAATAGCATCAGGCGCCCGAGTTTTATTGAATGCAACAGTTGTTTCTATGACCATTGGAGTCTTTGAAGCGCAGCCGCATTTTAGGACGATACTTCTCCAAATACAAAAGTTGCTTGCTGTTAAAGGCTCCACGCCGCTTTCTGGAAGGAAAGGACAAACTAATTTTACAGTGATAGAGATTGCTTCTGGAGGCAAGGAAGACAATTACAAAAGCCATGAAGGAATGTTTTAGAGCACTTATTTGGCTATTGTCAACTGAGCTGTTGAGACTCATGTATTCTTAACTATATCTAATTATATTTCAATAAAATATGTATCAACAATAGCATATTCAATCAATAATTTAAAGCAAAATAATAATTCAAATGATGCTGTTGGATTAGAATCTGCATGGACTATAAACAAGGGGATATTATTATCTTTAAAAAATGATAAAAATCAGAAGGGCAATTTATAATACATTTAAAACTTACTGACACCTTCAACAAGGAAATAAAGAGAGATTTCACAACTTACTGTCTTATGAATTGTACTGCATCTTCATATTTCATTCCGCCTTCAATCAATGCCAGAGCAACAAGCACTGGAGCTCTAGAAAGGTTAAGAATTTTAATCAGTCAAAATTTCAAAATCAAGTCCTGAAGTATAATTATCCATCATCATATTTAAGTTACACCTATGTTACATGTTGACTTCATGATTAAAAAAACAAAACAAAACTGAGCTGGGCATGGTGCCACATGTCTGTAATCCCAGCTGTTCAGGAGGATGAGACAAAAGGATGGTGAGCTCAAAGCCAGTCTCCACAACTTGGCGAAGCACTAAGCAACTCAGTGAGACCCTGTCTCTAAATAAAATATAAAATAGGGCTGGGGATGTGTCTCAATGTTTGAGTGCCCTAAATTAAATTCCCAGTACCCTCCTTCCCCCCCCCAAAAAAAAAAAAAAAAAAAAAAAAAAAAAAATCGCCCAAGCTGGCCTTCAACTTGTGATCCTTCTGTCTCAGTCTCAAGCAATGAGATTTTAGGTGTGCCCCACTATACCCGGCAAATACCAGTGTTTTTATATATCAATACAGATGTTTATCTGGAACCAAATGAAGAATTGCTCTTACCTCCCAAGGCCTGCAACACAATGAACAGCAATACAACAACCAGGTTCTTCTCGAAACTTAATTTTTACAAGACTTAACCAGTCATCAACAATTTG